TCTGCTACCAGAGTCATACCTGCAGCGAGCGGGTTCAAGGGGCACCTCTGCCCGAGGTTGGCCAGTGACGACCACCAGGGCAGGGCTTCCTTCACTTGGTCCGAGAACGAAACCCGCCTATCTAGTTCCCATAGGAGAGCTTGGCGTTATAACAAGCATTATACCGGGCGGCTGTGTAGTGAACTGAGGTCATCATTCTGATGATCTGTATTAGTTCTCGAAGAGACACTGAGGGAACGCCGACTAGGCATTTGGCTAGGCTTCTTGGCGCTAAGCAACACGCTCGATAATCCAAGCTTACCTCCATGTCAAAACCCCATGCCCAAGGACACCAACTGCGCGTTGGGCCGAGGTGGGACTTGTCGATTTACTAACGAACCCAACTGGTGAAGTAAATCCTGTGTTAGCCTGACGTGTTTGGCTATTAACCCCTTGTCCGGGTTGTTAGTAACCAGTAGTCTGGGTATGGATTGAGGTGTACCGAAATCTGGTGAAGCAGCAGCACTACCTGTTTCATCACTCAGGTGAACACGTAGGACGCTGTGCCTAACCCGGACGGGGGGCGCCCAAAATTCGAATACTTGGCCCAGCTGGGCAATTCAAAGGAGATGGCAACTCGCTGGGTGCATTGGTATGTGCCGGTAGGCCCCGCTTAAGTCTAGTGGGGCTAGCCAGTCGAAACGGTGGATGGAGAGGAGAACCCTGAATGGTGTCTATGTGGAACCAATCGAGGAGCACGTACTGATTCAGTCTGCCTAGGTCCAGAACTGGACACCCGCCACTTGTAGATTTGGTACTACGAACACATTTGGGTAAAGCCTGGACTGGAGATTTCAGCGGTATCCCGTAACAGGATGTCACCACCTGGAAAGGTCCAGGGATTGGTCACCCGCTGTCTCCAAACCGGACTACACCGGCGCAATCAGTGTACGACAGGGATATGTGTTCGGCAGTTGCGAGGGGGGGGTGCTCCCTCCACCGTCGGGCCTCTTACTCGACGTCCCAGTACATGAAGTACCGGTAGCCGAGCGTGAGGACTTTCCACTCATGCAAAACACCCAACTCACTTTAACCGATTTGTTTACTGGATGCGCTACCTTGCTGTGACGCGGTCAGTCTCAGCGATTTTGATGGCTCTGAAAGAAAATCTCAGGCCTCAGAACTCCAGTGAAAAAACACACACCTTCACGCAAAAACCTCGAACCCCGCACGTAGCTACGACAAAGTATCTTGGATGCGGGTTCAATGCTGGTAAATTCTGAATATAACCACTGCACGGTCGACTCGAAACACAAGGAGACCGGAAAGAAAACGGCAGCGAGCCCTGGTGCTGTCATTACATCTATACATTGTAAATAAAAGACGACATGCATGAGGCAAACGAATTAGTTTGTAAAAGGTGCCGCCATGAAACCAACGTGTGGTTATGTAGTGGCGCCGGGTTTTTATGGAAAAGCATAACACACACAGGGGAAAACGACATGAGGGTAAAAAGACAAGAAAAACTTATCCTACCAGCTAGAATGTCGAATGCCGCGGCTGCGGCGATGACCCACGCTAGAAACCTGGACAGGAAAAGCAACAGAGCCAGGCAGAGCCACTCAGAATCATTCCCTGACGAGGCGGAGAAAAATGAAGAGTGATTGACGGCTACCTATGGCGCTGCCATGTGGCCTCGGTCACGTGGGTTCGTGACATAAGGGGTAAAAGAATCTTGAGGTCATGGGGCTTCCCCTGACCTAGATTCTATCTCTCCGTCACCGGCAGAATCGCTGATTAATGCCTACATTTCAAAATAGTCATTTTGACTGATTGGAGACTATGGTGGGTAATTGAACGTAGTGAATATACACATTTATGCACATATGCGAAATTCTTGTGATACATTTGTTAAAGAAGCTCAAATTTAATGTTGATATCATAAAGACTCTTGCACATTGCTACAGTGAGAAATATACTTTTTTTTTGGTGTTGGTGTAGAATAGGGGTCCGTAGTTATCTCTTGGAAATATGATCAACAGCAAAATACATGTAGTGATGATGAGGTTTAAACTTGTTCTGCCCTCTTATGACAATATTGTGAATTACTTTGTTTTTTTATTCCGTGCATGGCATGCATTACAAATTAGGAAAGGTGAATGACACTGAATTCGTACCCTACACCTGCTCCCTAAACCTAATGCAAGACACGCAATTATCTTAACAGTAACTTACATATGCATAAACAAACTATGACATCATGGTAACAAAATGGGCATCCATGATGATAATTCTTTATTTACTAATTCAGACTTGGAAATTTTCTTCATGTTTAGTCAATCTTAGTGTAGGTTTTTTTTTCCCCCCAATTATTAAGGTCACTGAATTTATTCATCAAGTAATTGGTATGTACAACTGCATTTTCAAGAGTTATTACGCACCCCTAATCTACACCAACGTTTTTTTTTTTTTTTATGTTATAAATAATAATATACACATTGCAATCTTACCCACAATCTTATGCAATTTGTACATTTTAACCTCGTCTGGCAAATTTCACCAGAAAAGCGATTAAGTGGAGACGCTACATGAAAAAGTGTGCATACCAGCTTTTTTTTCCTAGGAATTTCAGTAAAGCGTAAGAATTTGCAGCAAAAAAATATAGGTACATGTAAATACAATGCCAAACATACAACCAGAAATGAAAATATAAACCCTGTTTTACACAAATAATTTAAAATAAAGTTAATATATTCAAAAGTACAAACCATACAGAATTGTAGGCAATTCAATGAGAGCCGTACCATAAATAATATTAAAAAATATACATTCCTAAGCATTAACATATTTCATTGAATAAAGTAACAGTACTTTCAAGTTTCCTGTCAACGTACTATTTATTAGAAGACAGTGGTTGTCGCCACAAGTCATTCAAAGGTGAAAAAGAACACATTTTACTCGCGAGTACCCATCGTTGTGATGCATAGTGTAGGACCCATACTGAATGCCTGTAATCGCAACAACTACTGACCTTCAAGTATTTTTCTCAAAGAAAGGATTACAAAAACTGATTATTCAAAACTTTCTACATTCATCGTAGCTGTCAGAGTACACTCATGCAAATTGTCCATTTAGAAAACAGAATTATTTTAGGACAATTAATTAATTTTTTTTCCGTTTTCAGTGAATCATGCAAATCATAAATATCATCACACTATCTCAGGCTAATTTGCCTTTTTAAACTACATTTATCTTAATTTTCTTTAACTTTTATTTTTCACTGTTTTGTTTTTTAAATTTATTACATAACAGCCTGAAATGATTTAACTTTCATTATGGTGTAATGAATGAAATTATTATTATTATATATAATCTGTAAATCTAAATTCATCAGTGACGGTAATAGTAACCTAGCTACCACTTGTACTCATGCAAGTGTTTCTAAATGATATTGTAAATGTACTTCAAACATACAGTTAAGTAAATAGTAGATACCCTAATTTTTCGATACTGCAAATTTAAGCAGTAAAGTAAACCTGTATAGAAACGTTAATGAGCCTTGTAAACCAAAAACTTTTTTAAAGTGACAATAGCTGCAACTATAAACCTTCCATCTCCAATTTGTTATTATAATACCGATAAAATACTTGTCTCAGATATATATGGACTTTGTTCAATAAATCACTTGCAAGTGAAATCAAAGAAAGCTTACAATGAACTCCTGTGTGCTGACACAGACAGTATTGGAGACATCAAAATGAATTCAAAATTTGCTTTTCAAACAAGAAGCTTGGCAACTAATATTTGGATTCTATTTGAGATGCACAACATAAAAACAATGTGATTCACATTATCAAAATTTAGAATACATACAGAAAAAACATTTGATTTTTCATCCATAGTTTTTAGTCTAATTAATTCCAGAGCACCTCTGTGATAAATTCAATAAAATTAGATTTTTTTAGATTTCAGAAATGGGCTAATAATAGATGAACAAATTGCATGTTTATCAAGATTACTAAACTAATCATGTCTGTGGATCACCAAATGAATTATTATACAAATTAAACAATTATTATGCATAGATTTAGGTCTGTATATTGTTTCAGATCGCACATGTATAAAGTTACATTATAATGTGATGATTAATCCTAACTAAATTAGTGGAAAGCTGAAAAGTAAATTATTATGCAAATTAGGTAATTATTATAGATGTATATAAATCTAAAATTAATTACATCATCACATTGTGTTAAGAGTATATATGTACCAAGATTCACTGAATTAAGATAAGTACTTTCACAGACCATCTATGTACGAAGCTTCATTGAAATTTGATTTAAACCCAAAAATTAAGACTTATTATGCAAATTAGATAATTGAGATATCAGTGGAAAAGCTGAAAATGGACTAATCATTTTGCAAATTAGGTTAATTATATGCATGCATTTTTACCCAAAACTAATCAAGTGTGTGCATTAGTCCAGAGCATCTATGTACCAAGTTTCATTAAAAACCAACATACAGTTCTTGAGGTATCAGTGGAACGAACGAACAGACACACATACACACAGGCTAACTGCAGAGACTCCCATTGTGTGCTTCACACACAGGAGTAAAAAAAGATGGCAGTGGGGTTGAGTTTTCCAGAGGCCAAAACCTTTTGAAATCCAGTTTTGTCAAGCTAACCTCAGGGATTATGGAACAAGATGACACCTTCCTGGGGGTCCTGGGCGAAATGTCAAAAACATCACCATCTTGAGGGGACCTAAGCGATTTCAACAAAATGGCGACTACTCGACCTCTAGTTTTCACATCACATTTTATACGATATTAGCCTTGCCTGGGGTCACGTTGCCCATGCAATTGTGTGGAAAATAATATTTTGTTGAGACATTACTTTTCTTCCTTTAATAACCTAAAACTAATGCAATGGTTCCGAAATATTAGTTTTTGATGAAGCAAAATTGATATGATAGTCGCCAGTGATACTCCATTTCAAATCCACACTTCTATACTGTCAAAAACTAGGTGTTGATGATGGGGCAGCAGGTGGGAAAAGTTAGGTGCATTTTCAATTTTATCTCAGCCCTCAATGACTCCAATAACTTCATGCAGGGCTGCGAATGTCCGGATCACTTTTTATAATTGTTGACATATTTTGGACCAATGATAAAAAGCCTATTTGCAGATTCTATACGTGCTATCTTGACAGACTCCTCAGACAGCTTAGTACATCCAACCAGACGGAGATAAGTCAATCGTTTCATGTTGTTGAATGTCTTGACATGCACGTCACCGACAGAGCGACAGCAGCTGTTGCACAGAAGAAAACAAAAGACATAATACTGTAAATATGATTAATTATGGTTTCGCCATTTTCACCAATAAGTAAAAGCCACTAAATTAAATAAATATATGTGACGAAAGAACTCGTTGTTTCCCTGACAAGTTTGTCAGTTTAAAAACCCAGTGAAATTACTCAAAGCATCCAAATACTGAATTTAAATGCTGGTAAACATAAATGGTATTACACTCGACTGCAGATTTTGACAAACATGTACTTCTGTATATACCAACTAAACTCAAATAAAATTATTTAAGACGTGTAGACTTGAACGT